AAGGCGGCCGTGGTTTCTTTGATCCTTTTTTTGTGTTGTCTGTCTGTCGTCTGTCGGTCCTCGTCCTGTCTGTCAAGCGGTTTGGTTGGTATTGGTTTGTTTGTTTACCTTTATTTTTTAACTTTCAGTCCAGGCAGGGTCCAGGTCCAGGACCAGGAGCCATACCTTAAAGGTTAAGTTACGGTATGTTGGTATGTTTTCAGTAAATGTTAAACGTGTTCGTTTGTTCAACTTAAAACAAATTACATAGGCCTACATGGAGAAGAAGTAAATTATTGTATGACACTTAGTTCGATCACATTCCTACCCAATCCAGACATAGGCCTAGGCATATACTATGTCTCCTGGACTGTTCTTGATTGTTTGTAGTTCTTGCTTAGCCCTTTTAAATACAGTAGGCCTTTGTGAAGGTCGGAAAAATAATGATCTTTGTGATTTTCATGTTACCGTTCTTCGCCAGCTTGAAAATGATGGATTTCACAGGTTGGTAACTTACTAAGTTTCTCTAGACTCAAAACCTTGCTTAACTAACTTTAAGGTTAGGTCTAGGCCTATCTGATTTTAAGTATTTTGATTTTTAACATAAACTAAAATGTCTTCTTCTGGGGACCGATCAACAAATAATTAACTTATTTCTAGCCACTAAATTACTGTTTTTTTACTGCAAATCAAGAAACAGAAATCTCTTTTAAATCGTTTTGAATCTCTGGATACTGTTTTGTATATCACTAGGTAACTAAATTTATATTTGTTATTTTTGTCGAAATTTTGGTATTTTAAACTGCTTTGTTGCAGAGAGATTCACTCACTTGTTGAGCTGATGGGAGGCTACGGAATCATCCAGAGACAACATTGCTCTCTAGCGCTGAGAGAGACATTGCCTGCAGGGATGTATGTTAGTCCGGATCAACTGGATGACTTAGCTCGTCTAGGACAGGTACCTAGTGTAATTTAATGTATACCGGTAGGCCTATGTATGAATATTAGGTACCACCCAGCTGTAAAGTTATATAGGCTACTTCTGTATGTCTGTGTGCGAGTATTTACTATTTGGGGTATACTTTCGTATCTGTTGGTACAAACAACCGAATGAAAATATCAATCGATATATCGATTATTTGATACTTATTGTTTGGTTAGTTAGGTAAGGTTAACCCATCGATGTATAATAACTCCCTGGATTGCGCGCTCAGTTTGAAGTAGGGCTCGAAAAACAGTCCGTCGCTACCTCGATCTGTCCGCCAGGAGTAGGGATAAAGGCATGACTCACCCTAGTGCCGAGCGTTACGCCCGCTCTTGCCATGTATTGCTATGTTAAGTTTTGTTTTTTTGACCCGTCCATCCCTAGTAATAAGCACTGGTTTTTCCAGAAAAATAATATATCAATTTGAAATTTTTATGCTAAGTAACAAATAAATGTAGGAGAGCAGGTTGAGTGAATGTATGTTTGTGTAAAACAGAGAGGTTCATTCGGCCCGCCCGCCTCGGTATCCTGCCAATTCGATTGGCGGGCACGGACCGTTTTTCTACTACTCAGCGCGCTATCCAGTAGAGTTATTATACATCTATGAGTTAACCTAACCTACCTAACCAAAAAATATATCGAATGAATGAATGAATGAATGAAATATGTTTATTTCCACATAAAACAAAACCATACTTCACTTACTTATCAAACTTCATACTTCATACCTCATACTCAATATCAATGTTGAATGTTTCATACTTCATACTTATCGAATGAAACAATCGAATAATCGATATTTTCATTCGGTTGTTTGTGCCAACAGATACGGAAGTCTACCCACTATGTGGCTTTAATGATTTTTAGGTATCTGACAATGCCATTACCAAGCACGAATACTAGAAAAATACCGGTATGGATCATAAACATAAACAAATGACGTTTTTGGCCCGAAAATAAACATTATCTATCATTGCTTAAATGGAACTGCCAAATCATATGTTCAATGCTAAGTATTAGTATAGGATTCGGGCCAACAACGTCATTTTGTTTATGTTTATGATCCATACCGGTATTTTTCTAGTAATCGTGTTACCAAGCCTACTGTCCATTAGGCTTTACATCCAAATATCTAGGGAGGAAATAAGAATGGGTCTCTTATGTGAGGAGAACTTTTCTGGTTTTGGAGAGCTCCTTTTAAGCAGTAGTTTTAATTAAAAACTACCTTAGTTTTTGAAGTCTCGTCCACTGACTCATCTGGCACTTTTCACAAATTCTCTCTAAGCTATCTAATTTTTGAATGTCCTGCTAAATAATGCAGTAACTTAGGCCTAAAACTTATCTGTGATTTAATTTGAAGGTTTTACAGAGTAATTTGTTTAAGATTTTTATCGCTCTCTCTAAGCTCAAAAATCAAACTGCTTGCACGCTTCTATATAGACTAACTTAAATATGTTTAGTTTTCAAACATAAAGTCGGTTTTGCCGAGGTGGGATACAAGGGGTTACACTGTACAGTATTGAATTTTCAATTTTTTTTTTATTTGTGTGCTTCTAAGCTGGTGGAGGTTAGGAAAAATCTTGTTAAAAACAAATTAATTTTAAACTCCGTCTTTGAATCTGAAATTGTTGAATTCAAATTGTATGAATTTAAAGGTTCAGTTTAAACATAGCCTATGTTATTGTTAAGTTTACTAATGAATTAATGTTCTGTAACTTTAATACCTTCAATACCTACTTAGGAATATCTTAGTTTTTTACCCGGTTCACTGGATCCGGTAAATAGCCCAGTAACTTTAGTTAAAAATCAAGGCCAACAAAGACATGGAAGATGTAGGCCTAAAGCTGATTTTTTGCATGGTGATAGTGTATGATAGGAAGGGTGTTTTCTGAAAGTTCCCCGAATTTCCCCCCCTTGCTTCCCCTTAAACCCCCCCCTCCCACCAAACACCAGGTTGAACGTGTAGTGCTTTACTAAATCACCTATATCTTTTGATATAAACAAGCTATCAGCATAACTGTTTTTTTCTTTGAACTCCTCGTTAAGTTTACTTTAATAAAATAACCTTACATATAGCATTATCTCTATTGGGTGGGCTTATATCTGTGATATAACAAAAAATATTTATTTTTTAAAATTAAATTGTAGATTATGTCAAACCCTGGTTTTGCAGTAGGTCGTACGTCAATGTGTTTGAAACAAAACTTTTTACCTGTTTTATGAGCTTTCCAAAAAAGTATAACAATATATATTTTAATTTAAGTTGTTACCGAATGTAGCCATTTAAAGCTATGCTTCAAACAGCCACATAGCTCACTTAGCGCATCATTCCAAATCGTCCAGTAAATATTACTAAATGATTACTTTTTGTTTATTTATTGTTTGCGCACCCTGTGAGAATGTTTAACAAGCAAATTTGCTCTTTAATTTGTTCTTAATTAAGAACACTTAATTTAAAAAATAGTAAGAAAATAAGTATTCACAAGGATTGAAAATGAAGTAATCGGTAGTTACAAGAAAAGGCAAATACAGGGTGATTGGTACTCAGTGTGACAAAACATTTTTTGGTGTAAGTACAAAGTAAATACAGTGTGATGATGCACATAAAAGGTTCCAAGTCTAAAAATTAGCTTCCCCAAGAATTATTTCGTGTTTTTCAAAAATAACTATGTTTAAAACTTAATACAGCTATTTATCAATTACTTGTAAATGGATTTGAGTAGATAATGTCATTTTCGTGTTCTACATTAAATTTTGAATAAGAATAATGTAAAATTACGGGGGATCAGTTGTAAAAACTCCATTGTAAATAGATTCAAAGATAAAAATTAAGATGTTTGATAAAAATGTAAAAAAAACATTGGTAAATTTCATTTGTTCACACCCTGTATACAAGAAAGTGTCCGAATATGGTAAAAACTGCGCCATTTTATAAGCTTATATATATGGTTGGAAAGCTTATAAAATGGCCCAGCTTTTAACATATTCGTACACTTTCTTGTATACAGGGTGTGAAAAAATGCAACAGACCCATGTTTTTTTATATTTTTATAATAAATCTTAATTTTTATCTTTGAATCTATTTACAATTGGGTTTTTACAACTGATTCTCCGTAATTTTCTGTTATTCTTATTCAAAATTTAAAGTAGAACACGAAAATGACATTATCTACTCAAACCCATATACAGGTAATTGAGAAATTGTTGTATTAAGTTTAAAAACATATTTTTTTAACGTAGAATATTTTTTTGGGAATCTAATTTTTAGACTTGGAACCTTTTATATGCATCATCAAACTTCATTTACTTTGTACTTACATAAAAAAAAATTTGTCACACTGAGTACCAATCACCCTGTATATGTTCAACAAGTTTATTTAATTACAGTTTAAAAAAAACACTTAAAGTAAGTATGGCATAAACTATCAGATACAGTATATATCAACTTTCTTTTTCCTCATCATCATCAGTTCCTTCGTCAATGAAGGGTGGGAGTGAATTTATACAATCAATGCTTTATACAATCAATTTAGTTGTACAAATTTTAACAAAAATATATCTAAGTTAGTATTTTCTCACCACTTAAAATTTGGAGATCACTTAGCTTATTGCCAATAACTTTTAAATGGAGGGAAAGTCGCCCAAAGTGGATGTGATATTCTGAAAGAGAATAAAATTTACTACAAATAACTACTATGCATTTTTTTTAAATACTTAATAAAGGCAGCCAAAAGCTGGCTACAAATAGAAACTTGTAAACAGAAACTTGAAAAAGCAGTTTTAATAAATTTTAACTTTTTCACCACACATATTTGATAAAATCACACTGATATAATTATTTGCAATTCTACATGAGTTAGATTTTCCAATGACCCATTAAGTAACAAAATCGGTCCAGTAGGAGTCTCGATTTAGTTTTAAAAAGTTTAACAAAAATATCCCTTACTCAGTATTTCATCATTACTATAAATTTAGAGTTTGCTTAGGTTTTTTTCAAATAACTTTTAAATGGTGAGGAAATCGACCAGAGTGGAAGGTGATATTCTGAAAGAAAATAAAATTTCCTACAAATTGGTACCATGCACTTCTTGAAAATACTCAAAATAAGCAGCCAAAAGTCGCACCCAAAAAAGTGTGAAAAACACAGTTTTCAATGTATTTATTATGGAAAGCAATTTTTATTTTTCACCATAAATCATAACAAAAACAAACATTCATAATTATTTGCAAATCTGCCTTCCAACGACACAATAATTAATAAAATCGGTCCAGTAGAACTCTAGATTTATTTGTACATATATTTTAAAAACTGAATTATGTATAGAAAATAGATAGTAATATTTACTGGACAAGTTTGAATGACGGGCTAAGTGCGCTTTATGGCTGTTTGAAGCATGGATTTAAATGGCTTCATTCGGTAACAATTTAAATTAATATATTGTTACACATTTTTGGAAAGTTCATAAAATAGGTAAAAAGTTTTGTTACAATGACGTACTACCTACTGCAAAACCGACGTTTGGCCTAATCTACAACTTCATGTTTTAAATAAAATAATATTTATTTTGTATCACATATAAAACCTCACCCAATAGAGATAATGCTACATGTGAGGTTATTTTATTAAAGTAAATTTAACGGGGAGTTCAAAGAAAAAACAATTATGCTGATAGCTCTTTTACATAAAAAGATATAGGTGAATTAGTAAAACACTACACTTTAAAACTGGTGTTTGGGGGGGAGGGGGGGTTTAAGGGGAAGCAAGGGGGGGAAATTCGGGGAACTTTCATAAAACACCCTTCCTATTATATACTATCACCATGCAAAAAATCAGCTTTACATCTTTCATGTCTAGGTTCTTACCTAAAGTGACTGGGCTAAAATGGGATCTTTAAGAAAAAAAAAAAAAATTAAACTAAACAGCTCAGTTAATATTGTAAAGACATATAATAAAAAACAACAGAAAGAACATAGAAAAAGGAGACAGTCCACAACTTAGCGAGTGGTCTGGAGGGAGAGTCAAACTAAATATGTAACTAAACTTAGATACTTACAACTAAATTTAATTTAACAATTTTAAAACATTCTAATATTCCCCATAAAAAATGAACTTTATAAGCTCAAGGTTAGGCCTATTTTCACTACTTACATTGTTTCAGGAACGTCATATTTAAAATAATCTTACTTGTTCTTATAAATAGTTGAATTTAAGATGGTACATAAAGACGTAAGAATGGTCAAAGAATCTGTTTGCAAGTATAACCTATAGTGTCATGTGCTAGGTACAAGCCTGTGCCAACTCCAGCGTAGACACGGAGGCCCCAGAGCCAGCCTCTGCGCCCATCTCTGTTATGGTGTATTCTGGCCTGGAGAGGGCAGAGAACTTACTGTCTGCTAGACTGTCTCTACCTGTCCACGCACGCTACCATGCACCCAGCGATGACGGTGGCTACCAGACCATTAGTATGGGCAGTCCAGACGTGCTAATAAGGTTTGTTTTTGCTTTCATGAAGAAATGTCTTATCAACCCAATAGATTCTACTACTGACCTTCTGTTGCAGCAAAGCTCGCTAAGTTAGATCAAATCTCAAACTAGCACTGTGTTCCTTACTTCATCCACTACTCTTGCCAATTCCCACTTCCAATGAAACGTCAAGTTTCGTCATAGTAGCCTAAAACAATGTTAGGGAAAATCGATGGTGTAATGTGCTTAGGTTTTAAGGGAATAGGTAGACCTATAACTTATTGCTAGTTGGAGGATATAAAATAAGAAAAGAGTGTGACGTAGAACATGTGTTTAATGCCTAATGGGTTGCTGGAGTTTGGAGATGGTCATAAAGATTTCATGTTGATTGTGTTATTTTGCACAGTGTAGGCCAGCTGCAGTCGTTAAACGTTCTAATTAGTAGCCTTACCGATATGGGGAAATAAAGCGTACGGATTGTAGTGTGATTAAGAAATTGCCAAACTGATAAGGGTTATTTCTAAAAACCATCAAGGACAACGATCAAACCTGATACAGTAGAGTCCCGCAAACTCGGCACTCAATAACCCGGCAGTCTGGATAACTCGGCCATCACCTGGCTCAGAAAATTAGTGATTTATGGACTCAAGCCAGCTTAAGTCAAATTGGTGGTATGAAAAATCTTATGTGTATTATGAGCACAAACTGTCATTGCCGCTCTCAAAATGTATGACACTCAGCTAGTTCTCAAGTGGAAATTGTGTACTTTTAATAAATAAAGTGCTATTTCCACTTACTGTTTAGTGTGCAGGTGACATAAATAAAACTCTTTATTAGTTTAATAATCATATTTAATTGGATTAACATAGGCCTCTAAAGCATGGATACAAAGAGTACTAGGCTAAACTAATTACAAGAAATACTTATATGATAACTAAATACATTATATCAGGTATTTATGATACTATGATATCAAACATCTCCTTTTTTTTTACTAACGAGAATGGCTTTTATTAGGTTAACTCAAGATCTAACAGTTGTTTCTTATAGCCTGTTTACAAGTCTAATCTTTGAGGTCTTTTGATCAGTCTACCATACCTAAACGTTGGGAGTGAGATAGGTGTAGGTTGGATGGTACCAAAGGATGGAGCATGGTTGGGGCTGAAGTCAGATTGGGTTTGGTTGTGAACTTGAGTTTCAGGAGTAGGAGTAGGTCTATGTTGGGTTTGAGTCTCTGGTTGTTTGATTGGATTATGTAGGAGTTTTGTTTAACAAACGTTGGGTTTTGATTTAGGGACTTCCTTAAATGTATCCTGTTTCTCCTGATTTCCCTCCCGTCATTCTGTTTTACTATGAATGACCTGGGTGTAATATAAGATCTTACTATCTGTCCCGGTTCCCATGTTTTACCCTTCTGAACTAAAACTGATTCATTTGGCTCTAAGTTAGGCAATGGTTTACAATTTTTATCGTACCATGACTTACAGTTACTACGCTTAGCTGTTAATTTTGCCTTAACATTTACATCAAAATTCTTAGGCTTAAGTTGGCTGTCTACACAAGGGATTTTGGTCTTAATCCTTCTACTTAGCATAAGTTGAGCTGGTGATAAGCCAATATCTTTCAAGGGGGTGTTTCTGTATTCCATTAGTGATACATAAACATCTGTGTTGCACTCGTAAGCTCTTCTTAACATGTTTTTGGCTATAGAAACAGACTTTTCGGCAAGTCCGTTGGATTTGGGATAATGCGGACTAGATGTTATTACATTAAAATCATAATCTGATGCAAAATTCCTGAATTCAATACTATTAAAGGGCATATTGTCTGCAATTAAAGTGTTTGGGATTCCAAACCTAGCAAAGATTGATTTTAATTTTTGAATTACATGACCTGCTGTTTTCCCATTCAAAGTTACAAACTCTAGCCATCTACTTTAATAATCAGTAATTACTAAGTAGTCATTAGGGCCAAATTGAAAAATATCCGCAGCTAATTTTTGCCATGGTCTGTCAGGAAATGGATGACTTAACATAGGTTGTTTGGTATTAGATTTACGAAATCTTTCGCAAACTTTACACTTAAGAACGGTTTCATGTATTTGTTTTGACATTCCCGGCCAGTATAAGATTTCCCTAGCTCTTGATTTACACTTTTCAATGCCTAGATGGCTTTCATGGATTAGTGATAACATATCATTTCTGAGGGATGACGGTACTATTATAAGCTTATCATCTAAAAAAACCAGGTCGTCTTGTACTGTAATTCTATCTTGTAAGTTGTAATAGAACTTAACATTAGATGGACACTTATTTTTGGCAGTAGGCCAACCATTAAAATAAAACTGTTTTAACTTTGACAGGTCACAATCTTTTTCAGTTTCTACTTTAAACTTATCTTTTTTAGCTGGTGTTATGGGTAAGTGTTTACTCAAAGAATGAACAATAAAAGACAGTTCGGGGTCATCTTTCACAGTGTCTTTTAAGTATGCTCTAGATAGAGTGTCAGCCATGAACATATTTTTCCCTGGGATGTATTCTACTTTTATTTGATACTTCAATAACTTAAGTAGTAATCGTTGTAACCTAGCTGAAACTTTGGATAGGTCTTTATTTACAAGAGGTTTATGGTCAGTTTGAACGTGAACAAGCCTACCATAAGTCAGCTGATGGAACCGTTCTAGCCCAAAAGTAATAGCTAAAAGCTCCTTTTCAATCTGGGCATATCTCTGATCAGTTTCGGTCAGACTTCTGGAGCCATACGATATGGGGTGCCCTTCTTGAAAAAGACAAATACCAAGGCCATCTTTACTGGCGTCACACTGCAACAAAAGGGGCTTAGAACTGTCAAAAATACCTAAGACTGGTGCTTCGGTCAACTTAGCTTTTAGATCGTTAAAGGCTTGGTCATGTTCGTTAGACCAATTCCAATCTACATTCTTCCTAGTAAGGTAGCGCAAAGAGGAGGTTAACTTAGACAAATTAGGGATATATTGAGACAGATATTTGGACATCCCTTAGTAAACGCATTAAAGCTTTCTTGTCAGTGGGTTTTTCCAGTTCTTTGATTGCTTTTACATGAGTTGGATCAGGTTTAATGCCCTCTTTAGAAACTACTTTACCTACAAAGTTTACTGAGTTTACCCTAAACTGAAACTTGTCTTTGTTGAACTTAACATTATAGTCTTTTGCTTTCTGAAGAACTTGGTTAAGGATAACATCTTGTTCTCGTTCATTAGAACCAGCTATGATTAAATCATCAAAGTAAATTTCGCAACCCTCTATGTCGCCAAACACATCAAAATTTATTTTCTGAAAAATCTCAGGGGTGGAACAAATACCAAAAGGGAGTCTTTTAAATCTGTACCTACCAAAAGGTGTGTTAAAGGTGCAAAGGTACGAGCTAGCTTCATTTAGTTCACAATGCCAGAATCCTTGTTTCATATCTAACGCTAAATACGGTTTTACCACTAAGTCTAGCCATAATTTCCTCAGGCTTAGGAATTAGAAAAGGTTCTTTCTTAATACTAACATTAAGTTCCTTACAATCGAGACATAACCTTAAGGTTTTATCCGGTTTTTCTACTATTACTAGGCTTTGCACCCAATCAGTTGGTCGATTGACCTCTGCAATGATACCTTCATTTCTCAACTCATCTAATGTGTCTTTAAGCTTAGCATATAGGCTAAGGGGAACGCGCCTAGGTGGGTGAACTTTGGGTGTAGCATTTTCACTAAGCTCAATATTGATTTCACCAGGAAATTTACCTAAACCCGTAAATACATCCAAGTGTTTTGTAACCACATCTTCTTTATTAACATGTTCAGATATATAATTAATTCCCACTTTCGCTACTAGTTTAAGGTCTAGACAATCTTTCAAACCTAATAACGGGGTGGATATTACATCGTCTACTGTGTACTCGACACAAACATTTTGTAGGTTGCGGGAGGAACAATTCATTGTTACTGTACCTATAGGCCTTATAGGAGTTTGATTACCAAACGATAACAATACAGTATTGGTCTCACGCAAGGGCGGTCTTTGGGCTCTATCAAACTGATTATAAATTCTAAGAGGTAGTACGCTAGTCTCTGCTCCCGTATCTAACTTAAATTTAATTCTTTGCCTACCTAGCAACAGTGTTTCATACCAGCACAACGGTTTTTCTCCATTTGTCTTGTCGAGACAGTTTATATACAAGTTAGTAGAGGGAGTGGAACTAGGCCTAGCTCTATATAGGTTAGGTTCTGCTTCATAGTAATCATCATAGCCTAACTCTTCTGACTCAACTACATTATGTGGGTCAGCCTGCGAAATCTCATAAACATTGGGCCTTTTAACTTGTTTTGGCCTAGAACTATTCTTATTAATAGGACAACATTTAGCAAAAAGATTCTTTTGTTTACAACTGGCACATACCTTGTTATAGGCTGGACATGTCCTAGGTTGATGTGTATACCCACACTTTTTACACAGGAAGCTACCATTTAGGCCTACAGACTTATTTTGTACACTTTGTGGCACTTTCCCCACTTGTTTATCACTGGATTTTTTAAGATTCACAGCACTCACGACACTTTGTCTTCCTTAAAGAGCAGATACTTGTTGCCTGCTAACTTCGGCGGCTCTGCAAAACTCCACTGCCTTTTTCAATGTGAGATCTGGTTCACGAAGCATGCGCTCTTGGAGATTCTTGTCGGTGATTCCTAATACGATCCTGTCTCTGATGAGAGATTCTTCCTCCTTGAATTCGCATGTAGAGGCTGCAGTCTGAAGTTCGGTCAAGAACGAGTCGAATGATTGACCTTCCTTTTAAACGATGTTAAAAAACTTGTATCGTTCGAAGATAACATTTTTGATTGGTTGACAATATTCTTCGAATTTGCTTAATACTGTTTCAAGGTTCTCTGAGTCACTAGTATTGAGCTTGAATGTGTTAAATACTTCAATGGCTTCTTCGCCAATAAGGTTAAGCAGGATTGCTACCTTGGTTTTGCCGTCCTTGTTTGACTTCCCTGTCGCTGTCATGAAGAGTTCAAACCTTTGTTTGAATTTCCTCCAGTTTTCTGATACGTTTCCACAGAATTGAAGTGGAGGTGGTGGTCGGAAAAATTATTCCATTCTTCATGGGTTTCTGAAACTTCAGTTTCTATTCTATTCAATCAGTTCCTAACCTCTCTTCAACGAGGTGCCTCTCTTCAGTGAGGTTATTCTTCTAACTAGCTTCAGCTAATCTTCGATTGTACTTTAGAACTACTAATTTAACACCTGACACCATGTTTAGTGTGCAGGCGACATAAATAAAACTCTATATTAGTTTAATAATCATATTTAATTGGATTAACATTTAATACAACAAGGGTTGCTATAATCTGTTCTGGAGTCTAGCCGGAAGTGTGCACATAGGCCTCTAAAGCATGGATACAAAGAGTACTAGGCTAAACTAATTACAAGAAATACTTATATGATAACTAATTACATTATATCAGGTATTTATGATACTATGATATCAAACACTTACTGTATGTATGTGCCCAATGTTAAACAGAGAAAAGGGTTCACTAAAAATAATTAATTTAACAGTTCAAAATTTGTTTCTAGGTGTGCTGGTCCACTAAACTGTCCAGAGCTAAACACTTTCTCTCTGCCATGTTACGCTTGCAGTGAAGAGATCTGTACATGGACGCAGCTTCCATACAAAACTGTAAGTGTTTTGTAGCTGTTTTAGCAGTAGGCCTTCTAAACAGTTATTTAAGTTGACTTCTTAAATTGAAAATCAGAACTCTTAGAGGTGTTATTCTTTTAGAAGTCAATTCAGATGGATTCAACAAGCAAAGTTTTCAACTAAAGCTCTAAAAGTAGCCTGTTGGCTAAGAAAAGTAAACTTATAAAAAACCTTATCACGTAGGCCTACCCTTCTTCAAACAGGTGTTCAAATTCATCAGTTTTGTTACTATTATTTTAGTAGAAATACTCAGGGTAACAAATCTTAATTAAATACAAAACAGGATATCACATATGACAGGGCCATGCCATGTTATGTGAGCGCTAATGCCACCCCGCATTTGTCGCAGGAAACAGGCTATACATGACACTACAAACAAAGCAGGAGCGCATTGTTGGTTCATACCCCTGTTATACACTGCTCTGACAGTGGGTTGTCGTCTCGTCATTCACTTATTTCCGCGGTGGACACCAACCAGTCAGGTTGTTTAGGAATTCTACAAATTTTGGAAACACTTTTAGTGATTCTCATTCCAAAAACATGCCTAAGACGCTTAGAACTGTTTATTCAAATGTGTTTTTCTTCAATAACCTTATCAGAAGTAGTCCAGCACAGGTTGCCTGACCTTCTCGTTCAAAAATTATTAGAAACAATCTACAATTTCTCGAAATGTAAGGGACGATCTCATCAGCTGCTCTTCGACAACACTGTTTATAAACTGGTCCCACTTAGCATGTTGTCTGCCGTGTTATTAGCGCAACAGGTTGCACTACTAAAGCTCAGACCCGGCTAAACGATGATTTGCTGACGACATTGTCGCCCGTATAACCTGCACTATGGATGTACCATTGTCCCAATGAACCGTTGCTATCACGTCATTCAAGCACGGCATTAGCGCTAGTATAACATGGCTTTAGTTAATTATCTTCTTGTTGGCAGGGCCGTGTTAAGGGTCAGTGGAGCCCTGGACAAAGTCAAAAGCAGTGCCCCGCCTTTTTCCCTAGTGGGGGCGGGCGGTAGTTGGACGGCGCCCCTGGGCATATGCCCAGTCCCGTTTATAAAAGTGGGCCTGTTGGTTGGATAATGTAGGCCTGAATAATGTTTTTGTTTACAGAACGCAGAGAATCTTTACATGCAGGTACCTGTAGGCAATCTCCAACATTACATCCTAGTCACTATTCTCACATTCACAATCACTACAGGAGGTGCTGTCTACATTCTCTCAGTCATGGCTAACAGTGCTACCAACATTCTGTAAACTTTTGTAATTTTGTTTTTATCCATTCCAACAATTGGCAATTGGCAATACAAGAATTCTTTCTAAGACAATACTTAGAAATAAGTTGAGAAATTAGTTGACATAAGTTGATTAATTTCTGCACAAGTCGGCGGAAGAGTTGTATCAAGTGGGGATTACAAAGTTTCTAAAGAGACTCTAAAAATGCATTAACATGATAGAGGCTATATTCCTTTGTAGGGAAACCCCAAGATTGCAGAATATGTAATTTGTTTTGTAATAAATTTAAATTTACTATGTGAAAAAGCATTGGAGACCTTTATCAATGGACAATCCTCATAGTTACTATGCTGTAGGTACAATTTACAAATACCAATAATTTATTGTCTTGAAAATAAATCCCTACCCAAAAAAACTGTATTTTTGTAAATACCATACATATTGCCAAAAGAGAAGAGAATGGACTGCCAAAGTAATTAGTTTTAGTGTTTTAAATCAGTTTTTATATTTGGTTCTTGGGATTATAAAGACCCATTATTTTATAACCTCTATGTATTCAGCAACAGTTCTGTATTATTTTTAATCAAAACATATCATATAGTTTGTATGATGGAACCTGTCACCTGAGCCTCTGTCTATCTAGGGACTGGCCTATGGTTCCCAGATAGACGGAGGAACAAGAGACAGGTTCCTTCATACAGACGATAGTAATGTAATTTGTTTAGGTTTTGATATGAATGTATTAATACCGTTGATTTAGTTAGTAAATACATGTGTCAAGAGTGCCAAATAGTTTGCAGCCTAACAACCAAGGAGAGTAGTTAGTTAGTTGTCTAAGTTCATCCTTTACTACGAAAATAGTGATCTCTTATAAATGTAACATCAGGATTTACGAACCGATATTGTAGTTCAGCTACAGTGCTGTTTATATTTAATTTTGAACAGTTGAGGACCGCTACATTGTCAATCATTTGTATTTCATGACTTTAAAATGGAGCCATCCATGGAGAACTTATATTGGGCTCCCTTAATTTTAGGTAATTTTAACATTAAAACTACCGTTTAGTGTGCAACTATTTTCAGTGCTCAAAAACTGCATTTATAAGCTCTGCTCAGCTGAAATAGTAGGAGTAAGATAATTTAGGACAATCTGTGGTTCTTTCTTTACAGTTAATTTTGAGGATAATATTTTAGTTAACATTTTTGATCTCTTAAAAGTCAGATAATGGATGCAAGTCATGTTAAAGTCACTTGTAGGATCAACATCAGAAATCTCTTATTTTGACCATCACATGAATTGTACAAATTGCTGCAACTGTGAAGTTTAGTTACTTTTTTTCTTTCCAAATACTCCAGTTTAGTGATGTTGTTTGGGTTAAAAGATTCCAAAGAATTATCATCTTAACTAGAAAATCCTTATACACATGAAGGTGATTCCTACAAAACACTACCCCTCCGTGGATAATGGACGGATTTTTACAAACGATTTGTTAAAATTAAGTATTGTTTGTGTAGACGCCCCCTTTCACCAATTCCTGTAATAAAATCCTCGGCGTTTGCCCCACAAGCCATCAAAATCCCAATGTATTTCTTATGGATAAAAGATGTTGTTTACTTAAATGGACAAATAATTTGTATTAATTACAGATGTTCATAGTAAACACATTACACACAAGAGCGATAACTGGAGTGGAGTGATTGATTGCATTATCTTTGAGTTGACTCTTTTAAGTCATCGGAAATTATGACTGTTATTCGTTTTGAAATAACGCCCGTAATACATTGCAATTACTCGAATTCGAGCAACAGGTGCACTAGTTTGTATAAAAATAGGTGTACCTAAGGTTTTGATTGTTGTGATTTCAGTGCACAGGCTCACAAACATTCTATGACTTATTAGAAAGTGTTTTAAAATTGTATTTTTATTTATATAAATCTAGTTAAACTATTTCTAGTCATTAAGTAAGTAGCAATAAGAATTTACAAAGTTTTAATTAAGCTGTTTTGTACCTATTTAATAAACTGTTACATTCCAATAATAAATATATTGTTTTCCATTTTGTTACATCCTTTCAAAAAGAAATTCTTTGAAAATATTTTGATCCATTATAATGCACCAGTGGCTGAATTCTTCTAGATTAATTTTATAAGGGCTATGTTTTAAGTCAAACTTTTCCAACCCAACCATTGTACTCTTTATTAATCCATATAATAATAAACAAATTTTTTTAAAGTAAAATTCCCTGGCTCAGTTGGTAGCGTCATGGACTTCGGGCCCAAGGCGATGTCATGGGTTCGGATCCTGGTCACTGTCACTACTTTTTATGAGCTCAATTAACCTTCGTACTGTACCTGCTCACCCCTTGCTTTGCTGAATACGTTCCATGCACAGGTCTGTAGCCTATGTGAACGGGCAAATGCAAGGTTAAAAAAGGTCGCCAACCTCTTTAAAAAAAGTTGTGTAGATAATTGCTTTATGGCAATCCTTAAAATTATTTTCAGCAAATGGTTTTGGCACTGAGTTGGTGCAATTTTCAGGCTGTACATAAACATAATATAATATTGAAGCAATCCTTTTCTGAAGACCGTCAAATTAACAAATTTAATTAAAGAAATAAAACAATTCATTATCAAATACTCTGCTGCTTACCAACCAAATACAATAATGTCTCTCTCTACTTTCAGTAGCTATATGGGTAATTACAAAGTAGACATTTCATTTCCATAATAAAGTTGTTACAGTATTATTATTGTTAACAACAATAGTCTGCGGAAGAGGACAATCATCCACCTTTCAGTTGGAATCTTGTCATAGAGGGCCTCCGAAATACGAACATCAAAATGGATTCCTGACCTAAAAAACTGCTATATAGTTGCTGTCTTTAATTGGATTTCGTACAAGGACTATCCTCAAGTAGATGGAAACAATGTTGACGGTAGATTTACTTAGTTTTGTGGGGTCTTTTTCAGTATCGTCGTAAGAAACTCTTCAAAGTACCTACCCCCCATTAGCACCAACCCAACCTTCCCCATTTCCTAAATGGTTTACCCTCAACTGAAGCTCCTTCCAATCCCCAAAAAAGTCATCCATAAACTCTTCAATGAATCCTAAATATATGGACGGATTTTAAACACGTAAGGCATCTTGTATCCTTACATGTTGACAAATCACAAGACCTTCTGGGGCCATGTAAACACAGATAAGTAAGATACAAACCTATGGGACAACCGTGCCCTTTTAGCTCTGATATGGTGGTGGGTTGGAAATGTACGTGTAACGAGCAAGGAAGAACCCAAACGGCGATCCCCACGTATATTTGTAACACACAGGGTCCTATCCCGTGAGCGCAGTTACTGGCGTGAGGGAAGGAGAACGGAAGGGGACGACGTATAAAATTTGCTCTAGACACCAGAGACTGGTGCTAGAAACACTTAAGTGTACCCTTGAATGTATCTTTTGTTTCTTACTTCTTTGTGATGTAAAGGAACTTTGAAACCAGTCATCAACTCCAAACAATAGAGTAAAATATGGGACTACAGTTGCATAGGAACAGTCAGCTGTTTGTAATTTATTTGCCAACTATTTTTCATTTGTTTTCAAGTAATCAGATTCTGAGCGTCCAACTTGCTGTATACTGACTCCAAAACCCTTCCAGAATGGCACATTTCTGCTTCTGCCTTTGAAGAGTAACTGAAACAGCTTTATCAAAAGAATGGTGCTGGACCTGGACAGTATTCTACCGTCAGTTTGTAAATATCGCAGTCCTCCGCTTGTTCCTCATTTGGCAATTTTTTTGGAACTGTCTCCTATCATTGAGTGGTATTTTCCCAACATCCCCAATTTTAAATCTGGCAACAAATGTATTGTCCCTAAATATCGACCCATAGTGATTCTTTCAGTTCTCTCTATAGTCCAATCAATGACCGTTTCCCCGTGTATTTATCCCATACAGTTTAGATTTAGGTTCTACTTGTCCTCTATTACAATCTGCCCACTGCCGGTGGCTGCTTTTCCCTGGGGGGTTTCCCCGCCCCCTTCACAGGGATGAGACATTTTTCATTAAAGTGCAGAAATCTGAATTTTTGAATCCTACTAATATTATAAATGAGAAAGTTTAGATGTATGGATGTATGGATGTATGTTTGTGACAAGTGAACGCGAAAAATACTGGTCGGATTGGGCTGAAATTTGGCATGATGATAGCTCACATTCCCGGTTAACATATAGGCATATTCTTATTTCAAAAATCCTTTCGGGCTCCGCCCCAGTGGCTCTGGAGTTTCCCATGTTAACCTTATGAGAAATGGAATTATTGAATATTAACAGCTGTTTCAATTAAACAAGTTGGTTCTGTTCTATGATGTTCAATAGCATTAAAGTTACAAGGATTACCAACAGGGTGCAGCACTATTATTTCTTTTACATTTATGACAACAGCTAATTTGCAACCAAAAGGTGAGTGAGCGTAGCGAACGAACTTCAACCTGGAGGCGAGTAAGCGTAGCGAACGAGCTAACCTGAAGGCAAGTGAGCGCAGCGAACGAGCTCCAACCTAAAGGTGAGTGAGCGTAGCGAACGAGCTCCAACCTAAAGGTGAGTGAGCGTAGCGAACGAGCTCCAACCTAAAGGTGAGTGAGCGTAGCGAACAAACTTCAACCAGGACGTGATTGAGCCATGCGAACGAGATAATCTTGAAAATTAAGAAGTTAAACGGGGCAAAGCCCGCGGGTTACAGCTAGTATATTATATATATTACTTTTATCTATGCTACTATTAGCTGTTATGTGTACAATATTGAAGAAGTAGTCTAGAACGTTTCTTTGTACTTTTGTAAAAAATTTAATTTATTTGCATGTATATCCCTAAATAACATAACTTAAGCCATAAGCTATGTTTGAATGGAAGAGCGAAGAAAGTCAGGACCATAAAACCCCGAGGATGAAGAATATATCCAGATTCAGCCCATCAATGAACAATTATATGTCTTTATTTTTTTATTTATTTTTATTTTTATTTTATTTTGCATGCTACAAAACAGAATACAAATCCCATTAACATTGCAGCACTATTCTAGTTTGTACAAAAATTGAGAACATGCTATGAGTTCATAAAATTGAATAAAGTGAATCGTTCATAGACTAAGAATAATAAATATTAATTATTAAATAACAACAACAATAAATAATAGTAGCAATAAGTAACAATAAATAAGAGTGACTAAGAATTACGCAAATAAATAAGATAAGAAACAAAACATGAGACACAAGATAACTGATGAAGGTGAGAGAAATTAATAACATTAACCATTAT